GATTTAAAAGTTTTAAGAGTTTAAGAGTTTTAACCAAATGCTTTATAATATAGTATAGATATAGGAGTATAATTAAGTGAGAACGATTTTGTTTGTGTTAATCGTGAGATTTAATCTCAACCATAAATTTAAAGGTTAAATTAGAAAATTAATAATTTTGATAATTTTAACTTAAAAGATTAATTAAGGGAATTTTAGAGATTTTATAAATATTCTCTCTCATCTATCCTCTATTCTCTTTCCTCTCTCCGGTAAATCTTATTCCGATAAACTTTATGTGAACACAAGATACACACTGTGGTACCTACAAACGATATTCACTGTGATACCCAGTTATATATACAAGATGCACAATGTAATACCCTTTGTAAAACAATGAAAATAACGAAAATGCACAGTATGACACATTTCATAAAAGAAAGAAAATACATTGTGATACACATGAAACGTTGTGAACGTTATTATTATGATGCACTTTGATTCACAAATGTCTTTTACTATATTATTCTTTTAGTTTATTTAAGAAATATTTGCTTCCAAAAAATTTAATTAAATACTTGCTTCTAATTAAAAAGTGAACATAACTAATTTTAATTAAATATTTGCTTCTAAAAAAATTAATTAAATATTTGCTTCTAAAAGATTTGATTAAATATTTTGATTAGTTGTCAAAAATAGAATTACTATATTATCTTTTAGGTTATTTAAAAAATATCCTTATATATCTCAAACGAGTAATTCACATTCGATCTCACGGTTACTACAAATTAATCAGTTCTCCCTTAAATGAACCCCTAACTAGGTATTACATGAGACCAACCTGTTTTCATGAGACACGAAAGACCACTTTTTTACACTTGTAACTTCACAACAAAACTTGTGAAAGTTACTTTCACAATGTTTGTACTGTGAAGGTTCGGATTTTTTTTACCTTTACAACGTTTTGCTGTGAAGTCTCAAGTGTAACAATGTAATCTCATGCTCAAAAAAACATGCTACTCTCACATGAACCCAACACTATATATACACACACATGTCAATTAATATATAAATTATCACCATTGAACTCGAATTTATTTAGCTTACAAATCTCGACCAATTAAACAAACGCGATCCAAATAGCCTAAATTTCAATCCGATGCTCCTCGATTTTTAGTTGTATACAAAACCATTTTTACTTGCAAAAACAAGATACAAAGTTGCTTTGTACTTAGCAAACCCTAGTGTTTTTTTGATGTACAACAATGATATTTGTTTGAAACAAATGGTTAGAAGGGACATGTTCTAACAAATAGGTTAAACTTGGAGAACAATATAAAGAATAGAGAACAAAACTTTTTTTTTTTTTTTTTCTATTTTAGAGAATCTTGTATGGATAAAGCTGTCTGATAGATTAACCTGTTTGTATAGATTGAAAATGTTTTTGTTTGTGATGGTTTTTAATAGAGGGAAGGAACATGTTTTTTTAAATGAGGGGCAGGTTTTTGAAAAAAATTGGCTTTCTACATAAAACCAATTTTTATAGTATCAAGCCACTACCAAATAATCATGTATAGCTAACTGAATAATCCATATGTCTCGTTAAGCTCATTAAACTGTTAACCTATAGGTCCTAAGCCTTTTCAAAAAAAGGCTGGAAAACACACATTCTAACAATCAACCCAAGGTTAAAAAAAGCATAATCCAAGTATAATCAACTCTTGATCATTAGTATTAATCAACAACAGCTCAAAACAAGGTTGAAACATCTCAAAAGAATGGAGAGGCAAAAACTGGTCAAAACTTATCCCCCCACCAAAACCCTCATGTAATTGTTTCAAAACCAAGGACTATAGTAAGCAGCACTTGAAGCTAATAAGCCAAGAAGAATTGAAATTACCTCTTAGCAATGGGTTGGCTGTCTGGAACAAAGTCAACAGGCTCGCTCTCCATATCATCCACCACCTGTGATGCATTCATCTTTGCTTTCTTAAATCTATTTGAACTTCTTAAAAGATCAGCCATTTTTATGTTCTTGAACCCGCTCCTATCAACAGACAGTGCTAGCTTCTTAGATTACTTTGTATAGAAATTGAGAAGGAGCCTTTTATATGGGAAATTGATAGAAATAACCCAATCAGCAAATAGGGTTTCACTTTTTAGCCATTTTCTGACCCAAATTCACTTTTTAGCCAATCCTTACACAAGGCTTACGCTAGTGGTTTTCTCCAAATCCTTATGCAGAAAGTGGTTTTCTATGTAAGGATTCCACTTTCTTTCTGCGTAAGGATTCTGAGAAAACCACTTTCTGCACATGGATTCCACTTTCTGTCTAAGATTGGCTAAAAAGTGAATTTAGGTTAGAAAATGGCTAAAAAGTGCTACCATCTATCAGCTTTGGCTATTTATGTAAATTTCCCCTTCTATATTTATGTAAAATAATCACCAAACTTACTGTGAGTTCATACTGTTCTTTCCACCACTTCCCATTCTTTTCACAAGACGCGACCCTGAGACATTCACATCATCGTTAGAAGCTTAGATCATCAAAGACAAAACTACAAGAAGCCCAGGCCTTTACCAAAAAAAATAATGAAGCAGCTGAAAAGCTTCTAGTCTTTCTTTCACAAAGAAATGAGATTCAGCTTGCAGCCCAAGAGTTGTACAAACATAAGTAGTAGCTATATGCCCATGCTAATGTTTAGTGGGACATAAATTAGGGGCTGTTTGGTTGGTTTTTCATCAAGTTCTATATAGATAAAACTCTGTGGGGATTAATCTCTCTGTGTAGGTTGAGAAGGGTTTTTTTTGGAGTGTTTTTCCATAGATGGAAAGAGCTAGTTCTATAATTGGGAGGGGCAGGTTTGAAAAAATCTTGGCTTTCTGCATACCCCCCCCCCCCCCCCAAAAAAAAGAATCATACTGAATAAGCCATTTTCTATATCATTAAGCTACTACCAAACAGTCATGCATAGCTGATCGAATAAGCTGAGTCCCATTAATTACTAGAGCTGAAGGGTAATATGGTAATAGATATAGGGCCTGTTTGTTAGCAGCTTAATGAGCTTAATGGGACTCACATCTTATTCGGTCAGCTATACATGACTATTTGGTGCTTAATGATATAGAAAGTGGCTTTCAGCTTATTTAGTCCAAACAAATAAGTTCAATTACCATTTGTTCGAGAGTATATGCTAGAAGCACTTGATGATGACGACTTTGATGGTGTGCGTGTGCTGGAATCTGACTTTACAGTTTCACTGTCATCAGAAGAATTCCCGTCACTACCATCTCCAAATATTGTTCCAGGCGTATTCAACAAACCCTTTACATGCTGTGAATTGTTCACAACGGGTACACTCTTTTTCAAGGTTTTAACATGAGGCTGGCCCTGAACTGATTGCTGTTTGTTGAGCTTTTGATAGCGGAAAGATCTGCCAAAAGTTGCTGAGCTTGAGCTCGATTCAGACGATGGTCCATCTTGTCCTTTATTAGCATGAGCAGATTTGTTGGTCTTGGGAGTATCAATCATTCTGGTCTTTTTTGGAGTTTTTATTTGATCAATATGAGTGATATTTGGATCTTTTACAACATTGGTAGAAACCTCTGAAGTCTTCTTTGAAGATAACAAGAGTTTGCTGTGTTCATTTTTTGTAACAGATTTCTGAGATTGAATGGTGATATTGTTCCTGGAATCATCTTGTTCTCCGTTCTGCTTGTTACCAAATGAAACTTGTGATTTCCCTAAATCAGCTGAGGTTTCTACAAGAGGCAGATTTCCTTTTGTTTTCTTCTTTGGTTTCTTCTCCTTCCCTGACTGCGTAGAGTCTTTCACATTGTCAATAGAAGCAATTTTATTAGGCTGGTCGCCAGGCACAAAATAGTCCATGAAGTCAATTCCATGAGATCTTTCCTTCGGGATATCAACTTCACTATTAACCTTAGAAACTTCAGATACAGCCACATTCTTCAAGGTCTCTTCAGGAATACCTTTACTTTTCTCTGGTTCTAGCTCAAGTTCAGTAGGTTGATGTTTATTTTGCAGACCTTTGCGGGTTCTCACTGAAAATTTCTGGTTCTTTTTGGCTTTTCTGACTAACCCTTCATCAGAACCTTGTCCATCTTGTACCTTGTCAACCTTATTCAGCTGCTGTTCAATTGGAACAGATGATAAGGTCTGAGAAGCTGAATTTTGCTTGTCCCTTGATTTTCCATCCATACCATCTTTATCACCATCTGTACCAACAGCCAATTGAGATGAATCAGCTAGCTTTTCCTTGGGATTATCTTTTCTATCTGAATCAGGCAAGCTATTCTCACCTTGCTTTGCAGTTTCTTGCAAATAACCATCCAAAGCTGAATTAGACACAGCTGTAGACATGCCACCAGTATCCACATGACCATGTTTCATTATCGACTCATCCTCATGTCTTGCAGCAAATGTCTTGGTTTTCCTTTTCCTTTTGCTTTTCTTTATACCATCCATCTTCTCATCCTCCTTTTTTGAGTTATCATTAAGATCTTCTGTATTTACTTGATTTCTGTTTTTCTCAGATCTTGGAATTTCGACAACGATGTCCATCGGGTTATCATCACTTCTACCACGATCAACATCTGACATCGTCTCTGGACTTTCTTTCCTTTCAGAACGAGGCAAAGAGTTTTCCTCATTTGTCCCAGTGGCAGCATCACCATTACACTTTGCAACAGACTCGTCATTTATAGAAACAGATCTTCGAGCAACTTTTTTCTTCCTTCTACTTCCCACACAATTTTCGGTTTCCTTCTTTTGTTTTTCTTCCACATCTTCTACATGCACCTGGCGTCCATGGCTCTCGGTTGGTTCTGAAACTTCCACCTCTTTCACAGTCGGATCATCACCTTTCTTACTCACATACACAAGAGGATCATCTACTAATGTTTTCTCTGAAACCTCATTCCTTTCAGCACTACCCATACTAAACTTGTCAATCTCTCTTTCATCAATAATTTTATCATCAAAGACTGGAGCAGGAACCGATGAAGAGATATCACCCACATGAATATCAGCATGCTTCACTAGCGATTCATCTTTGTTTTTGGCATACTTTTTGGCCTTTCTCTTCTTACCACCACCAGTATTCTCATAAACCATAGTTTCCTTGCTCCTCTCAGGAAGCTTCACTTTGGGTCCTTGGTTCAGTGAGAATTCTCGATCTTCTCTGCGTTTATCAATCTGATCGGCGGCAAGTTCCTGACCGGTAGATCCGACATCTTGTTGTGAGGAATCAGTAGCATCCTTGTTTATTTTCTGAAGCTTTTTGGTGAAAGGTGTAGAAGACACTTCCTTTTCAGCTGCTTTATGTTTGGTTGAACGCTTTGCACTTTTTAGATCGCCCTCGGCAATTACAACAGGAGCATCACATTCACAATCAGCAGTCCCTATATGAGTTTCAAATTAATGTAGAAAAAAACATTCAGTGGTTTTTAGTCTTCATTTATTTGTACATATAGATGTGAGAGGAAAAAAAGGAACGCACATATGAATACACCAAAGAGGCCTTTGGCTCAATGATACCAACCTAGCGATGACAATTCAGCAAAATACAGCATATAGTATATATAGTCCTTGATAATTTCACCCACTGATCAATTGGTTTTGAGTTGGCCCTTGGAGGTTAAATGTGGTATTACATTACAGCAGGCTAATATGGTATTGCCTGAAGGTTATAGCTGCAAGGTTGACGTGGCATGACAAGAATAATGATCAAACAACAAAACATACAACTTATTACACCCATATCCAATTGGTTTTGAGTTGCAATGGCTGACATTCAACAGAAACCCATATAACCCTGGTTTTTTTGGGAAATTGACAAAAATAGCCAATCCATCAAAGTCAATTCACTTTTTAGCCATCTCAGGAACCCACTTCCCCAAATAGCCATACTTTACGCAGAATCCTTACACATTATGCGTAAGTATTGATTTTGGCCAAAAAAAGGATTTTAAAAACAAACCTTGAGCAGAAACCCCTTTCTGCCTAAAGATTCAAATTTGTGCGTAAAACTTAGGCTATTTTGGGAAGAGGCTCTGAAAAGTGGCTAAAAAGTGAATTGAGTTTGATGGATTGGCTATTTTTGTCAATTTCCCTTTTTTTGTTGTGGG